CAGCTCCCCACTCATCCAGCTTCTTCCCCGAAACTTCCACAAACCGTTTCAAAGAATAGTACTTCACAATCCTAGAACACAACGCATCGAATTCTCGGTCAGTGACAACCAGTGGGGCTCTGAAAGAGGCATTACATGCCAGGTAATCGAATAAATGGACCGGTTGGCAGATATACATAACCATAGTCACGTTTGGTCCGTAAGGATGACAAAAGCACCCCTGCCTTCTTGCACAGAGATGCAATATGTTACTATTTACAAATGAAATGTTTGTTTTGGAGCCCACATTACGTTCATACCCTCCAGTCTTGGCATTGTTTAAGCGGATCACAATCTCATGACCATCTATTAACAGCCCATACTCAGTATTCAATAAAATACCACTATTCCCCACAATTGCACAAGAACTATACCTTTTCTTCTTGTTAGTATCCAGTACTCCTTTACTTTCATGGTTATCAATCAAGAACTTAACTTTATCGAAAAACTCAACCATAGAGTGAGTAGGAAACCGTCTTTTATGAAACCAGTCACGCAAATACCTCCGGAAACTAGCCCAGAGGATGTTAAACTCCCTTGACCGGACATGTAAAGGCATGCCATTGGATGCCCTGACTCTAAGGTCAATATGATATCTACCAGAAGACAAGAAAGATCTATGGCGACCATGAGTTCGAAAATTACCTTCTAACAGCTCCTCGACATCCTTCTTTAACTGAGGCTCCCCAATATCTATATCTGCGTATTTGAGAAGGGTCTCGTTAAAGATCACTTTTTGGGCCTTCTTGGCAAAAGGGTTTCCGATCCTTGACTCAAATGAGGAGTATCGGAGGAAGAGCCGGCCAAAGAGCGTCGCCGCAAGCGTTATGAGCAGAAGTGCACTGAAGAGTGGGCGCACCCCTCTCCGTTTCATTGTGCTTTGCTGAAGCCCCCAAAATTGCTTCCTGATGGGTATATGAGAATCTTTGATTTATGCTAGAGTTTGGGGCAGAAAATGCGTAAAGATCTTGAGGAAATGAATAGGTTGCGATTGAGTTTCATTTTTAGGCAGAAATGGAAAGATCCACTCCGGTATAAACTCTTCAGCTAGGATATAAACGGGGTTCAATTGTTTACTTATGAATAGAATTGAATGAACCATTGAACCCAATGTTATCGATCCATAGATAAGAACGGCAGTAAAGACAAACAAATTGGGAGAGACAGTGAAGAGCGTCGCCTTTTGGGCAATGATGGGGGAATAGAACAAATATTTATTCCTGTCTCTTTGGTTGGTGGTGGATACTACTACTACTCTACTAGTCTACTAGGGTGAGAGCAGAATAGAGCAATAGAGCTTCGAGTCCGGGTTACCCATGGACTTGGGCAGTTGGGCTTAGGCCCGGCCGGGCTAAAAAAAATTCAGTGAAGCCCGGGACCGGCCCGGATGTTGATCGGTGCCGGTCCGGGACCGGGCCATGTCCGGTTCTATTTTTTTTTTTTCTTGATTATTTCATCCCCTACCCCCATCCCCCAAACCCATCGGAAACACCCAGCCCAACCCATTTAAACCCAACCCAAACCAAAAAAAGAAAAAATAAAAAACAAAAAATAGGCCCAAACCGAGCCTGGCCGGGCCGATTCACATTTTAGCATACCCGGAATCGGCCCCGGTTTCATCCTTAAACCGGGCCTAGACCCGGAATCGGTACCCGGTTCCCGGGCCGGGCCGGGCCCTAACAGTGCCGCGTCGGGGCGGTTCCCGGGTCGGGTGGCCCGCACCGAATCCAAAACTAGTCCAGGTGCAATCCGCAGGCGACTGGCTGACCGAGACCTCACCGGATCACACTACTTTTTCTAATCTAAATCTAAAATCTTATACTCCCTCTGTCCCTTAAAACTTTGTCATCTTTCCTTTTTGGGATGTCCCTAAAAACTTTGTCACTTTCCCTTTTAATCAATGTTTTGTGGTATCTGTTATTTCTGTCTCCTCTACACAAACCTCAACTACACAATTTTTACTTTATTATTCTCCGTGCCGGTCAACTTTGGCAAAGTTTTAAGGGACGGAGGTAGTATCTAAGAGTAAGGGTAAGGGTATGATGGGTATCCAAAAAGTGTTGGTGTAACTTTATGCTTTATATATTATTTAGGGATGTCAAAAAAATCCGACCCGCAATGACCCGCCCTAGCCCGAGACATTTGGGGCGGGTCCGCCCCACCCCCTCTTGCAAATGGGGCGGGTCCGCCCACAATGAGGCGGGTCCGGGTATTAGAATTGACCCGTGCCACCCCGCCCCGCCCCACCCCGACCCGCTCAATATATAAGTATACATACTTTTTCTTAAATTATACTACAAATATACTTCAACATACATATGTGTGTATACAATAAATCATAAATTCTTTGATCTTATAATATATGAATATATATTATAATGAGATGCATGACGGATTATCAATGTCTTCTTTATATATAGAATTTTAATACATATATTCAATTATTAATATAACTAATTAGATTAAGGCCTTTTTATTCCAATATTACTAAAATGAATGAAAAAGATAAAAAAGTGACTTGTTTTAAATTTTTCAAAAAATGTGACTAAAAGCCATTTATTCCTTGTTTTTAATCATATAAGTATTTATTATTTTAATATTTCTTTTATGCATTTGATTACTAGTCCTAACCACCGGCACTCGGGACCACCCACCCCTGTACAACCACTGCCGCCGCCGCCGCCCCCCGGCGCCGCCGCCGCCGCCGCCGCCGCCGCAGCCGCTGGCGCCACCGCCACCGCCGGGAGTCACTATCTCAGTGACTCCGGTCAAAGTGACTCCGGCCAAAGTGACTCCGGCCAAAGTGACTCCGACCAAAGTGACTCCGGCCAAAGTGACTCCGGCCAAAGTGACTCCGGCCAAAGTGACTCCGGACACAGTGACAGTCTCCAACTCCGGCCACCACCGCCGCTTTCTGACCGCCGCCGTATGGCCCACCTGACTTACCACCGCCGTCGTCCGCCCCCTCTCCAGCCCCCAAACTCCCCTCCACAGCCCATAGCCCCCTCCTTAGACCCTTCCCTACCTTTCCCTGGCAAAAATCCCACCGAAGCCATCGCAGTACCTTTGCCTAGGTGAAACCTAGCTACATCATCGCCTATGTCGACTAGATCTAAAATCCGTCGTGAACTATGCACAGATCTGGAAAACCTAGACGACAATCTCATTCTACCATGGTGGTCAATCTCTTCACCGCTTCATCAATCGGACAAAGATTAAAGAAGAAGAAGAAGAAGAAGAAGAAGAAGGAGGAGGAGGAGGAGGAGGAGGAGGAGGAGGAGAGAGCCGGAGCGGACATCGATGAAGGCGGCGACGTAGAAAGTCGGTGGAGACGCCGACATGCGATGCCGACAGAGGCTGCGAATTGAAGGTGGAGACGACGACCGATGGAGGTGCGATGATGTTCGATGGATGCTTCATTGGGAAGAAGACGGAGAGAAGTTCGTTTGAGGGAAGAGGGGAAGTGTTCGATGGAGATGCTTTGCTGAATCGCTGTACAATCCGTATGTTTTAAATGGATCACTTTTATGGAATATGGGAAAATTGTCATATTTTATGAAATGAAAACTGCAATAGTGATATGCGGGCAATTTTTTCTTAGATTAACTATTCAAGTTTGAGTAATTTTTCCTTAATTTTTGAAATATATTGATTTTTAATTAATAATTAGAGATAAACATTATGTAGATTCAATTGGTAACAACTTCCCACAAATAAAAAATACATACTAGCTAATTACTAATTAGGTTGCGGCGGAGCGGGTCATGGGTCAACAAGTTTAATTTGGACCCGTGCAGGTCACGGGGCGGGACGGACCCGCCCCACCAAGTCACGGGGCGGGTCCGGGTCTTGCAATACCCGCCTCGCCCCAACCCATTACCATGCCTAATATTATTGTACTCCTAGGAGAAAGAGTTGTATATCTATACGATTTATTATTTATGTCTTCTTACTCTCTTTCTCCGTTACTTTTGTTACCTTTTTACACGGCTGATCATGTAGTACGTTAGATTTTACACTCTCATTAATAATAACCATTGGTATCACCCAAAAAATAACCGTTGGTCTTCCCCTTAACTCTATAACGATAGTGTTAATTAGACTGATTTTAGAATGTGAAATCAGATTCATGATTTCCTAAATATGTTAATTGAAGTTTTAAATTGTTGAAAGAAAAGTCGATTCAAAAAAAATATTGTTAAAGGAAAAGTTTTGTGTAGCCAGTAACTTTTGTTAGCAAGATTTCTAAAGAAACATAACAGATTAAATTTTGGGGGAAAATAATAAAAATAACTCAAACTTTGATGGGGTGTAAAGTAAACATCTCAAACTAGAATATGTAATTTAAATACCTCAAACTTTATATAAAAACTTATTTTCGCAAATGTAAATTTATGGAGTCCATTTCATAATTTAAAATAGCAAATTAAAAGTGTTGCAATTGTATAGATTGGGGGTAACATTATTTATTTCGCAATGGAAGTTTATAACGTTAATTGTGTCTTCATGAATTCTAAAATATTTGAAATTATGAAATTAACACCATCAATAAACATTTCTGAAAGAAATAATACTTGACTATGGTACCAAAATAACTTTTTATATAAAGTTTGGGATGTTTAAAATACATGTGCAAGTTTGGGGTGTCCATCTCACACCCCTTCAACTTTTGGGGTATTTTAATTATTTTTCCCTAAATTTTGAATGATAAGAAAGCAATAATCGTAGAATAAGTTATATTATAATGTGTTCTTGAGGAGATTTTTTTATCGTCAAAACAGATGACTTAAATTTAAATTACAACATTCAGAAAGGGGGTAAAACGACAAAAGAACCACATGCAACTGTCAGCACTCGAACCAGACTTAGAGTTAATCACCTCTGTTGGTCCAAAATAGGGCGCTCGTATGCTTTTAGGAAAGTTTCGTTAGACACTCAAGTAGGAATCAAGAAAAGTGATACGAAAATGGAAAGTGCTGATGGAGTTTTAGTGAATAGCATATAGAATTCGCTTCCCTCTAATTTGAATTACAAGCTGCCTTTAATATGCGTATACAAATCGTAACCGCTATCGATAATAATGACTAATTAATTACAACATTAATACGGAAACTAAATACATAAATAAATAGTGCATTAATTGCTTGACTGTTACTTTTCCTAGCTGGCAGGTCGACCGGACTAGCCAGTTCGGGGCTGTAAGATCCAGGTCTGTAACTCAAAATCGGGAAGATTAATGAAATAAAATGGTCCAGTAGATCTGGTAGCTTAAGCGCGCCACTGCAGAAGCTGCCCCCCTGCTGAAGCTCGGGTGGAACGACTCCCCCTCTCTCCAGTAGATCCGGCCAAAGACAATTTTCAAAATGTGGCGACGGGCGGTGGGTCTCCTCTCCTCTCCGGCGACAGAAATAGCTTCCAATAAAATCAAGGAATTCATCTCATGATCTCAATCACGAGAAATCAATCTGATGGGCGATGACACCACCTCGAGGACTCCTGTCAAACCCGAAGCTGAGACACATCAACCCAGCGGCCGGCGAAGAAGTACGAGCTCTTGTGCCGGTTCTGCCATCTCTCATACGGAGGCGTCCACTGCACTCCTGCTCGCACCACCTCTGCGTTAGTCGCCGCCGCAGATCCATGACCAGGAAGGAGATGACGATTCAAGCCAAGTAGAGTCCCTCGCCGATAGAAACCTTAAGGCTCGGGGTTTGTAGTGTCCGCGGCCGTAGTCGCCGGGAGTATCTCTGGCTGAAAGCATTGTCCGGCCGCACCCTCTCTTCTGGTTCCGTCTAAAGAGACATCTGCAGGACACGTCAAATTGGGCATTGTTTTCGGGCCATGAAGAGTGCATCTAAGCTTAACCTCCAGGCCATCATAAGGAGGGTCTTCAGCCGGAAAGTCCTAAGTGCTTACCAAGACAAAAACAGTGGGCCAGCCCACCGTTGGTCCAATCCAATTTTTCAGCGGGCCAGAATTCAACGTCAATTTTTCTGTCCGTTCAAAAGCTAAGTACTTCAAACTCTCTTCATAAAAATAATACGTGAACATATATGATAAAAAAATCACAAATTGAATCATTTGAAAAGATATTTTAAGTGATATGATTGCTTTTACTCTTGTTAAGTGTGTGTAATTTTAACATTGAACAACGGACTTGTAAAATCTAATCACTCAAGTACGTCGGACGAGCACACACACTCGTACACTGGCCGAGCACACACACTCGCGCCACCAGATCACGTCATATGGGTGTGACGATTAATAAGCTCCAATATAAATGTTAATACCACACACTCTTGACTTCATACGAGTTCTTGCGTGCTTTTACCTCTTCCTAGTGCATCACACTCCGACCTCGGGGGACGAGTCACCCGTTCAAAAGTTTTTACTTGCGGGTTCGAACTACTAACCTCGGGCGGCGAGTTAAACTCTTGTTAGGGGCCTGGAGCCACGCTCTTCTGAGCAATTTTTTCACTTAATTGACGTTCACATTTCCCGAAAAGGTTGATATACTTTAGTTCTCTGAGGTTGGATTATCCGTTCGAGTGGTGACTCCGAGTCACTTACTCGCGGATTCAATCTTCCTTACGAAGACTAAGTTGAGGCCTTACTTGGGAACTTGACGTTATTCTTTTCGAGTAGCGAGTCCGACTCACTTACTCATTGAACGTGGTTCGACACCAGGCCAAATGCTCTATTCTACACCTGTTGCATTTATGTGTAGATACGACTGAACGAAGGCGAGCCTGATGAGTTCGAGCCCGACGAGAAGAACGGTTCTAGTCATCCTCTTCGCAGATGGCGACTATTGCAATAAAGGCTGAAGATTTCACCTCTTGCTTCATCTTGGGGGCGTCTGGTGTACTCTTTTTTCCTTCATTAGGATTTTTTCCCATTGGGTTTTTTCCTGATGAAGGTTTTTAATGAGGCATCTCCCCGACATGGACAAGGGCGAAGATCTTCCAGTCTCGGAGAAGAGCAACTGACCTGGACTACTCCCTCTTAGCCGAGTCTACTACTCGACTAAGGGAGTGGAGGACTCGTGATGGAGTAATGGGACTAAGCCCAGAGCCTAATCGGCCCAAGTCCTGAATATGGACCCGTGGATCCAAGTCCACAACCTGGAGCCTTCCTACCACTCCATTTGGGAGCATGTCAGTCTGGCCGACCTGCCAGCCAGGAAAAGTAACAACAAGCAATTAATGCGCTGTTTAATTATGTATTTAATTCCGTATTAATGCTGTAATTAATTACTCATTAGTTCATTACTATTGTTAGCGGTTACGAATTGTATACGCCTATAAAAGGCACGTTGTAATTCAAACTAAGGGAGCGAATTCTAGAGGCTATTCTTTGCAGCTAAATCTCATGAGCACTTTCCATATTCGTTCTTACTTTCTTGATTCTTGCTTGAGTGTCTTACGTAGTTTTCCAAAAAGCCTACGAGCGACCTATTTTGAACCAACAATAAATTTCTCTCCCAAAATGTATATTTAATGTATTAGGTGCTCAACTGAATTTTGTTTACATTGTGATTAATACAAGGGGCCCTAAGCATGTGCTCGACATCACCAAAAAAAATAGGCTCTTAATAGTCTATACCTCTTCTCAAAAACAGATGGAATCTCGTACTCCTGAGTCCTGACTCGAAGAGGTTGGAATGTGGTTTTAAAGGCATAAATATTTTAATCGTATGTTTTATCTAAATTCATATTCAATTCAAATCGACACAATACTTAAATAAATACGGAGTAATATTTTCCAAGTTATAGAAAGTATACATATTTCTTCCAAAAAAAAAAGTTATAGAAAGTATACATATTACTTACCATACTCGATTATTACAACTCTAACGCAATTTATTTTCAATTATTGCAAATTTAATGCAGTCTTTATTTTAAAAATATTACATTAATGTAATTTCAATTTTAATGCAATCTGAAAATTGTCAGATTAGTTCTTTATTTTTTTTTAACCATTTTGTATCTGAAAATGCCATAATTTCTAATATGAAATGGCCATTTTTTTAATTGAAAGTGTCAAGTTCTGCATCTAATAATGTCATACTACCTCCGTCCCAAATTGAGTTGCAATTTTGACTTTTCTTGGTCAAATAGACTTGTTTTGTTCGTTTAATTATGATGTCAATTTCTAATTATATTTCAATTTGAGTTTACAACTTTAAAGAGATTTCAATGTAGTTTATGAATATGTAAATTTTAATTATTAGAAATTGAGTTAATTATCCATAAAAAGGTTTGACTTTTATTATTGGTTGACCAAAAAATATTGACTTTGCAAAACAATTTGGGACGGAGGAAGTAACTTTTTATACAAAACAATCCAGTTATTACATCATTTTTATAAAGATGGCAATTCAATCTCATTGGAGATTGACTAAATTTTTGTAACTCTATTTTTGTTTTTTATTTATCTCATTTACTTATTCCATGTGTTTCACTGTTTCCCTTCATAAGTATGTTCTGTTGCAAAAGGAAAGAAATGCACGTGCAAGAAAGGATAAAAAAAAGAAACAGACTAGTGGTGATTAAATTCGAACTCTTGCTTCACCCATTTCACCCGTCTTGGACAAGGTGCAAAAACATACTTCATTCGTTAAACAAAGTTTCGGTTTACGATGCTAGACTAATTATAAAGCAAATTGATTCATGTGAACACTAAGATTGCTTTTAGTAAATAAAATTTACATATTCAGAAACTAAATTAAAAATTTTACAAACCTGGGGAAGAAAATTTAAATTTGATAAATTTGATATATAAAGCAAAAGATTGAAAATGATTTAAGTTGGCCAAGTAAATGGTGAATGAGAACTTCATTTTGGGATGGAGGTAGTATGATGTATTAATATTATTATTTATTATGTCTGCCTCACTAATGTTGAGACATGAGAAGATGATGCGATTATTAACAAATGTGTATTTTTGTAATTGATATTGAATTAATAAAATAACAATGATTTAGTACCATACAAATTTTACCAACCGATACGAAATAATCTTAGAGGGACCAACAAAAAAGGAAATACGGAGAGATCAGTACAGTATAAACTCCCATTATTGGGTGGCAATTCTCCCATATATATTGACCCTTTTCAAGCCTTTTCCATGTCAGCTCGTGCAACTCAAACAAAGAGGAAGAGCAATGGAGTTGGGCAGTGCTCTTAGCTTCTTGGAAGATAGAGCAATTCTGGTCACCGGTGCCACCGGCTTCTTGGCAAAGAGTACGTATAGTATGAAAGTTCATACATACTCATATACGTAGTAAATAGGATCAGTTTTTATTCTAGACCTTCTATATATACCTAGCTAATATAATGGATTTTTGATTCCTACTTTAGCTAAATTCCTGATTTTGTTGTAGTTTTTGTGGAGAAAATACTTAGACTTCAGCCAAATGTGAAGACGTTGTTTCTTCTTCTAAGGGCTGAAGACACAATGGCCGCCGTACAACGTTTCAACACTGAGGTGCTACGTCTCCCCTCACATTTATCAAGTCCTTCTATTTGTACTCACTCTTGTATTCACGAAAGAGTATTTTTGTTTGTGTATTCACATAAAAACCATTTTTGCTCTTATGTCATTTAATTTGAACATTCTATGTTCTACTTGCGATGAGCCTGTTTATCTTTTTAAGATAGTATCAAACATTTAGAATGTCATGTTATGTTCTTAAATATAATACACGGTCTTTATATTTGGCCATCCTTATTAAGATTGACTACCTACATCCATGATAAAAAAAGTATGTTGACCAACATGGAAAATTAAAGTTAAGCTTTCTTATTTAGTTTAGGTTAGTATTACTCGTATAAGATTGGGCTTAGTTAACTCACTCTTAATAATTTTCAATGGGTGGAACTTACTTCACAGTTATGTACTACGTATTACGTATCCATATGGTAAACACTAGAGACGGAGGGGTGGCGGGGGGGGGGGGGGGATTAAACCCATCTTCTTAAATATAATCATCAAAATAGAACGCACAACTTAGGAGGTGAATAAATGGACCAAACAAATTTTAAAGAGGCTACGCCAAATAACGGTTCTTAAAGAACATACTTCATCAGGTTTTGTAGACATATGAATGTTGTTTTGAGTTGGAAAAAGTGTGACTTCTATTTTAATTTTAATTTTAATTCAAAGACAATTATTTTCAGATGATCAGTAGTTAATTATAGCAACTAAAATTAAAACAGATGCTCTTTTGATGCAAATCAATATATATATATAAAAGAGGAACTTTTTAAGAGCATACGGCGCGCCACGTAATCATGCCATGTCATTATATATAATTATTATTTAATTACTTTCTATATCTTTTATTTTCTTTTCACTATTACGTTTTGTATACCATCTAATTTGGTAACTCTTATTTACATAAATCTGATTTAGTAAACTTTTAGTAAACTTTTAGTAAACTTTTGTATATATTGATTTTTTAGTATTACGTTTCTATATTCTAATTTGGTAACTCTTACGGAGTATGTATTTACATAAAATCTGATTTTATTATAGTAAAATTTTAGTAAACTTTTTGAATATATTGATTTTTTAGTATTACGTTTCTATATTCTAATTTGGTAACTTACGGAGTATTTACATAAAATCTGATTTTATTATAGTAAACTTTTAGTAAACTTTTTGTATATATTGATTTTTTAGTATTACGTTTCTATATTCTATAAACTTTTAGTATATTTTATGTTTCTAAATTTAGAATTAGAAACATAAAAACTACCTATAGTGCATATGTAGGCTATTATAAATATACAAAGACAATGTAAATAAAAGTGTATTTTCACTATTGGCTTTCTCCTTAGTTTGAAGAATTCTATTGCTTAGTGTTCTTATATCAAGAATGTCATCACAGTAAGTTTCTACAACATTTTTAATGATATATTATTCAATACTACGTACAGATGATACTTTACCATTCACATGTTTATGATACATGATATTAATATGCATTATACCTGATTAATTAATATTCATCTTTTTTTCATTTTTGAAAGTTTTTTTTAAAATAGACAAGTTGAAGTTTTGTTTTCAAAAAGAGACCTATGCGTTTACGCCTAGACATTGACTCCGTAGTCCGTTCCTACTTAATCCGTAATATTCAGGTATCTTAATTACAAACTGCACCAAGAGCTCTTATCAACGGATCCATTTGGCACCTGGATGTCGACTCATCACATCCACTCCCTTACCTAATACGAAGTATTAGTGTTACGCACTTTCATTTTTTAGACAAATTAAAAACTAACAATTAAAAGCAATAATAATAATAATAATAATAATAATAATAATAATAATAATAATAATAATAATAATAATAATAATAATAATAATAATAAGTGAGTTACCCTTCAAGCTTCTTTTTTTACTCGGTATATTGGCTTAGAACTTTAGACAACTTTTTTTTGAAAGGATTAGTTTAGAGAACTTATGATAAATGTCCAATTGAGAAAAGTGTTTTGAAATTTTAAAAACTATACTTTGAAACATTTTCAATGTGACTGAAGAATGAGTAAAATCATTTGAATTTGTAACTATTAGAATTAATTAAAAAAATTATTATACATACCATTCAGACAGAACTTAATCGGTTTCAGCATAATCAGTCAATTCGATCAATTTTATTGATATCAAACGGGCTCTATATTAAATTGAAGGGTTCCTTACTATTTTCTATTAAGTACAGTCTGTATTAAGACATATGTGTAGGTTAAGATGTATATCGGGATAAAATGATATTTGTATATGAGGTTTTAAATTTGTATGCTAAATAAACAGTCTGAACCAAGTCAAATAATCAATTTAGTATTTTTCTTAGATGATAGTGTCAATGAAAAACTTCATTTACTAATATAAATTAATTCCATAACCAATTTTTTTTTAAAAAAACACATTTTAAAATAGCTAAAATACGTACTGCCCGTGCATCGCACGGGCTTGAAAACTAGTAATTTAATAAATGTGTACATATGATCGATTAGAGTTATAACATAACCATCCCATATTAGCCCCGTTGCCAAATTTTTATCCCTAATTGGCTAATTATAATCACACATTACAGCAATGTAATATAGATACGTAATAAGTGTATAGAGCAAGCTAAGTCGGTTGTCATAATACACTTTCCCTTTTTTGTTTGCTACACTTTCCGTTTTTGAAAGTATTCAAAAATTTGCTACATTTTCATTTTTAGAAAATTTTTCCTTTAAAAATACTCAACTACTCTTACTTTTTCTACTTTTTATCTTCTCTTTCATACTTTTCGACCATCTCTCCTACTTTTTCTACACTATTCATTACCCCTACTATTTCACTCTTAAACAATGTGCCAACACATATTGTAGCAAACAAAAAAAATACGAATGGAGTAATAATTAAGGATGTTTTTACTTGGACTGTAATTTGTCCCAGACCAGTCCAGACCAGATCAGACCAGTTCAGACCAGACCAGACCAGACTTGGATAGTTATAAAAATACAAAGAAACCAGACCTTACCTGACCAGACCAGATCAGACCAGACCAGCAAATTACAGTCCATGTAAAAACATCCTAAATAGGGGCAAATAAAGATAAGGAATCATGTATTAGTAGTAAATGCAGGATGTATATTAAGGTATTTGTCTCACACTGGACAAGTATAAAACAATATAATACTCCTAGACTTTGAATTATTCCTCCTATCAAGTTAACCTTTTAGGATGGAACTCTAGATCTGAACATGATATCAGAGCGACAGAGCCAAATCCGGTTGTGGTTTGACGGCTTGTTTAGCATTCATGATTAAATGTAGCTTGTTAATTTATACACCCAATTATTGTCCAGCTCGGTTCAGGCTGAGGAGGCGTGTTAAATTAGTTATCTCACACCGAAAAGTAGTAAAACAATAAATCACTATATAAGACTTTGAGTTAATTCTCCTATCAGGTTAACTTCTACTTAGATAATTTTCTCAAACTTTATCTACAATTTCGTCTTGCACTCACGCAACATAAATTGATCTTTTATATATATATACTTGCACATTTATAACTTAAACTAAGTCTAGTTAAACAATACGGAGTATAATATTAATAATGTGATTTGTCATTTGTGAAATATGTGACTAAATTTTAGTGTAACTTATAAATTCGTCTTCTAGATACGTCAATGATACTATAAACAAATTGTGTAAAAAATTTCACAAAAAAATATTAGTATCTGTCCAATTGATAATGGATTTATCAGGTATTGGGAAAAGACTTGTTCAAGGTTGTAATGGAAAAGTACGGGGAGAAGTGGGATGGGTTGATATCGGACCGGGTGAATGTTGTGGCTGGAGATATCACGTGCGAGAATTTGGGCGTGAAGGACTCGAGTTTGCTAGACCGGTTATGGAGGGAAGTCGATGTTGTGGTTAACATGGCTGCAACCACCGATTTTGATGACCGGTACGTGTGGCTTACCACATTTTAGTTCTAGCTTAGCTTTACACATTTAGAGCCCTTTTGGTAACCCTTATGAGGCTTATAAGCCACATTTTTCATCAAACACGTAACTTTTAATTTTGCGCGCTGAATTGTGTAATAAGCAGGAAAAATAAGGTTGAAGTTACTTTTCTGGGTGGATTGGTTGAAGTTACTGTAGATGATCATTTTAGCTATTTTTTCATATAATTCTTTATTTTATTTATTAAAAAAAAATTTAAATATAATTTTTTCATGAATCAGCAGAATCAGCCAATACAACCACTTCAGCCAAAACTTTATAATTTCAGCAGAATCAATCAATACAGCCACTTTTAGTGTTACCAAACGGGCTCTTATTTCAATACAGTAGTCTGTAGGCATTTGATTTTCTTTTTACCCTTTTTAAGTTACATTTTGACTTGACTCATCAAATTATATTTTGTATTCACTCGGGTTACAATGTTCATCAATGCAAGTTACATTTGTCATGACGCGAGTTATATCATAAAATAAACATTTGCTATTGAAACACAAAACGTTATTGTTCACTCATGTTATATGTGCAGGGGCATGATTTTTTTTGAATATTTTTTTGGAAAAATTCACATCAATATATAATCTCACATTTGCATTGTCTTCTATTATTAATCCCAAATATGAGTTATTCTAAAATAACCCAATTTAAAGAGACAATCTTCCCATAACACGCTGTTAACTGGAACACAAAATTTTAGTAGGTTACCCGATTACGTGTTTGAATGTGATTGGATTAACTTTTTATTTTTTTACCTTTCCCTTTTCCTTTTCTTTTCTTTTCTTTCTTTCTTTCTTTACTTGGCTTCTCTTTTCTTCGTTCTCTGCTTCTCATCTTGTGATCTCCTCTATTTTAATTTCCCTCCTCCTCTTAATTCCCCCCCACCTTTATCGATTTCTTCCCCATTCCCTTCTTCTTTATATCGAATTCATGTACAAATCTCATCCACGAGCCTCCTTCCCCTTCTTCTGTGGAATTTGTGGAGAAATTATGGAGAAAGGAGCATTGATAAAACGTCTCGAGAAATTGGTTAGCCAAGGCTTTAGTGCCACCATCTCCTTCTTCCGTTTTCTTATTGTGAAATTCCTCACAACAAATTGTTATGGTGCAATTGAGGTTTCAAAGGGATTCCGGCGACATAATAAAGAAGTTGGCCCAACCGCGGGATATTCAGTTGAATCATCTCATGCCATCAGCCTCGCTACTCGATCTATAAGGACGTAAAGTTCATGGATTGTCCATCATACAAGATTTGAAGATGGATGCTTGGAACGATGAAGTTGTTTTGGGGAAGAAAAGTCGATACATGCCAGATCACTGTTCCCATTTAGTTTTTCGTGTTTTCTGTTCCCTATTTTTTCCCTTTTCCTATTTTGTTTACCGGTTTAGCGGGTAGTGGGTAAGAGGGATCAATTTGAGAAGATTCCATGTTAACAACATATTATTGTAGAATAACCAATAAATGAGATTAATATTGGAAGATCGGTAATAGTTCGGATTATTCATGTGAATTTTTCCTATTTTTTTATAGCCCTGATATTAAAAAACATCTCCACTATTTATGTAAAATAATTGGGCAATTTAACGCGAGAATTTATTTAAACGCGAGTAACACCACACTTCTATTAACGTGAATTACATTTCTTTAAACGCGACTTACACCACACTGCTGCTGAAATAAAAAAAATGTTCACGCATATTTTAGTTCTTAGAGGATGCTCTCCATGATATAACAACTTCCCTCTGACTCTCACACCTTAAAGTGTTACAAAAATGTTTGAGGTACACACTTTGTGTACACACTTTGTTTACACTCGTCTGTCTCTTAAGAAAATTTTGTCTGTCACAGACAATTCATATATGAGTTGTCTGTGACAGACAAAATTTTCTTAAGAGACAGACGAGTGTACACAAAATGTGTACACAAAGTGTGTACCTCTAGCATTTTCTCAAAGTGTTATATTATTCCTTCTTCCTAACAACTACTCCGTATGAATTTGTGGTGTGCGGACTTGATTTGATTAAACATTTTGATGTAAAAACATTTAAACTTTTTGGAATAAAAACATTGTCTCTCATATAAATGTATACATGCATGTTCAATACTTTAATGGATTATGCTCCACTGACTAAACTTATTACAGATATGACGTGTCCTTGAAGATTAATACGATGGGCCCTAAGCATGTGCTGGACTTTGCCAGAAAGTGCCAAAACTTGAGAGTTCTTCTTCACGTATCAACCGGTAAGTCAAGAGTAAGACGTCAAGACTCAAGACGTGTCCTCAATTTTAAGTTCAAGAGGTATCGGAATTCGGAAGTGTTTTTTTTTTTAATTCACTTGAATAATCGCATATATAGACTATAGTACCTCTGTTTGGAACTGGATTCACGAGTCTTATTCGGTCCTTCAAAATAAGGAACCGAAATTGCCGGTTTCTATACCGAACCGTTTTATTAAAAATAAATGGCCCAAAATAAATAAATTCTTAAATAGTAATAAAAATTTATTACAATCATAACAACAGAAACAACAACAATAATAAGTTTTTTTATAGATGTAATAGTTTTTCTTGTTGTACTAACATTAAAAATAAAAAATAAATTAGTTAGTATTTTTTGGTAATTAGTAGTAATAACACGATAATATTACAAATTATAGTTATAAATACATAATTTAGTGATTGTTGGAGTATTTTAATATTACCAAATTCTAAATTTGTATAACCTAATTTCGAACTACTTAGTTATTTATTAAAAAAAACTATTTTTGTTATTAATTATCTTATTTGTGTACTTAGTTATATACTTATAGAAATACTAATTATTAATTACGCTAATATTTTAGGAACTCTTTCATTTGAATAATATTATTACTTAATTATTACCTACTATATTTTTAATAAATTAAATAAATTTAAATACAAGAAATATAAATAATTTGGAAGCGGAAATCGAACCTGAACTGAACTAGATTCAAACTGGAACAATCAATTTTGGAACTGGTACTGTACGGTTCTTATTTGGGTTCCCAGAAATTCGGAAGCGTGAACTCATTTAACATACATAAGCTACCCCATTTTGTATCATATTTTGTATCCCTCCTATGTTTGTGGTTCACAAAAGCAATGAGTAAAAATGGAGCAATTATTTTAATTGGGTTGGATTTTTCTGAACCACAAATATAGAATGAGGTACAAAATGGTGTAGAAAATGGGGTACCTCTAGCATTTCTCTTTAACATATCATCCATTCAATCTGTCATCATATTATCATCCATGTTTTTGAACATTCATCCATATTTACGCTTGATCATATCCATGTTTAGCCCATTTGGTGAGTCTATTTTTCGGTTTAATAGATTTATCAGCCAACTTTTTAAGCAAACATGTGACTTTTGATTTCGCGCGCTAAATTGTGCAATAATAAGAAAAAGTAAGGTTGAAGTTACTTTTTCGCTGTATTGGCTAAAGTTACTGTAGATGACCATTTTAGCTATTTTCATATTTTTTTTTCTTACTTTATTTATAAAATATATTTTAATCCCCCCATAAATCAGCAGAATTAGCCAATACAGTCACTTCAGCTAGAACTTCATAAATTTTAGCAGAACCAACCGATTTAGCCGATTTCGGTGTTACCAAACAGGCTCACAGTATACAAGCCCTACGCACATGACTCTTATTAGTTTTTATCATACAACTTTTAGTGTACAATGGTAGGTGGGCAAATTGTTCTTATTCCCATTTAGTAATCTCAAAACTTTTAATTCCACTTTTGATAGTACAAAATTTACAACAATTTCACATTTAGTCATTGTTTATTAATGTATTCCTTTCGGTACTTGACTTGACCATTTGGTCTACTTGTGATCCTTCCGCCCAACTTTCCAAGTTCTAATGCCTATCTGGCGATTTTAACTATTAGAAATATCGATATAGGAGTCATACATGATCAAAAAGAAATAGTCATGTACCGAATAATTATGTAAACTAATGTATGAAACTAATGTATTGCTCATACGAGCAAATTAAAAGTGTAACTTATTACTTCCTCCATTCTCGTCTCATATTCCTTTCGTGATATTTTTAATTATTTGTCTCTATTTCCTTTTTGGTAAATTTTTTCAATCAAAATACATTTATACTCCGACTTTTATTACCCTTACCCCTTTTTACTTTTTACATACTATTTTCTATTTCCTACTTTATCATTACTTTACCCTATACTCTCTATACTACCCCTATAATTTCCTCTTAAAATCCATGTCAAACTCTAAGGCCTTGTTTGGTTCAGAGGGGAGGGAAGGGGAGAGTCAAGGAGGGAAGGGAAGGGGAGAGTCAAGGAGGGAAGGGAAGAGGAAGGAAGAGTTTTGATTAAAAAAATTGTGTTTGCAGGGCTATGGGGGGGTGGTGTTGGGAACCAATTGTGCAGGCACGGGTGGTGGTGCAGGAGTTGTGGCGGGCAGGTTGATCTGTGGTGGTCGGCCTTCCGGGTGGTGGTGGTGGTTGCCGGATAACTGGTCCGAGGTTGGTTAGGGACAGCTCAGGGGGTTGGGCAGGGGGTGGGGACAGGGGTTTGGGTGGCTGTGATGAGGGGAGGGGTGGGGCAGGGGTCTGAGTGGGATCTGGTGCATATGGCAGAGGTGGGCAGGGATTGGGGCTAGGTTGGGGTCTGGTCCGTGCATAGGGGGCTATGGGGCGGGGCATGAGCAGAGGTGGTGGCTCAGGACGGGCAAGGGAGGCAATGGAGGCTTGGGTTGCTATTGGTGCCAGGCCGCCAGAAAAGGTGCCGAAAAATTCTATGGCGGCTGCGTCACTGTGGCGGCGTCACTGTGGCGGCGGCTATAGTGACACCGGTGGTGGCTATAGTGAAATGGGCGGTGGCTATAGTGACACAGGAGGTGGCTTGAGTGACACGTATGGTGACAACAGTTACACGTGCATCGGCTACAGTGACACAGACAGCGGCTACAGTGACACGAGTGGCGACTACAGTGACACGGGCAGTGGTTGTAGTGACATGGGTGATGGCTGTAGTTACAAAATAAACGAACACAGTGACATAAAATTTTTGTAGTTACATCATGTTTTCTAATTGCACTTTCTAATTGCACATATATGACCTTCTTGATCACTTTTTTGTCCCTTTTTAAAAGTGGTCACTTTTTGGGTAATTGGTTCAAAATTAGTAATATTCAAGTAAAACCCCAAGTATTATTATACGATGTAAACTTAACAAGTTAAAAAAAAATAACTTAAAAAGTTGAATGGATTTGTAACAGCATATGTATGCGGTGAAAAGCAAGGACTCATACTAGAAAGCCCATACAAAATGGGGGAAACATTGAACGGAACATGTGGGCTTGACATTGATAGAGAAAAAAGGATAATCAATGAAACTTTGAAAATGCTCCGAGCTGAAAATTCTTCTCAAGAATCCATCACCTTAGCCATGAAAGACATTGGCATCCGAAGGTATATCTGCAAAATATTTGAGATAATTTACTCTTTCATTAATATTTGAGATAATTTACTCTTTTATTATTTAAATCCCTTAACTAACATTTTTCTCTCTCAAAGAGCGAAGGCATATGGATGGCCAAACACTTACGTATTTACAAAGGCAATGGGAGAGATGCTTTTAGGTGAATTGAGAGACAATGTGCCTCTTGTCATTATACGTCCGACCATTATAACAAGCACTTACAAGGAACCATTCCCTGGTTGGGTTGAAGGTGTGAGGTACCCAATATAATCATCAGTCCATTACTATTGAATCTATTTTCCTTACTATTATTATAATTATTCCGTTAGCTTTCCTCATGGTATTATACTTCCAAATTACAGTAACTTATATTGTAATCATGTATGTACATGCAGAACTATCGATAGCTTAGCAGTTGCTTATGGTAAAGGACAAATAACATGCTTCCTTGGTGATCCTAAGACCATAGTAGATGTGGTATGCTTCTTTCAGTTGATGTACTTCCTCCGTCCCTTAAAATGCTTCCCACTTATGTTTTTGGAACGGCAAAAAAAAATATCCTCATTTCTCTTTTTGGAAAGTAATTTTGTGTGGCTAACATTTATTTATCTTTTTCTTACTCAATCAAAATTATACATTCACTTTATTTATACTTTCTTAAACTCCAATCCAAATCGAATGGAGAAGAATTTTATGGAATGGAGTCTGGAGGGAGTATGTTTTTAGAAAACATTGGATTTTGTGCAGTGTGGGACTAGGGAATAGTAAATGACTAAATATGTTGGTGATAGGTCATTGCCCCTGCATCTAATCAAACTCTGTCTACTACCTCCATCATATTAACATTGGGACAAGAGAAGATGATTACTCCCTCCGTCCCTAAATTATCTTCAAACTTTCCTTTTTCGTCCGTCCCAAAATTATCTCCTCTTTCCCTTTTTGGTAAAGAATTTGTGGTTCACAACCATTCTTACACATTCTTACACATTTCTCTCTCCTCTGCACAACTCTCCACCACACAAAACCCACTACCTAAATTATTGTGCCCAGCCGTAATAGGAGAAAAAACAGGGACGGAGGGAGTATTAAGAAAAATGAGTTTGAAAAGTCACACAAGTTTTATAAATTTAGTACTCCCTCCGTCCCAGGGAGAAGTTCTCGGGTTGACTTTCACACATATTAAGGAAATAAAGTTACTGAGGGGTAAATTTTACTGTTTGGCACTGTTTCGACACTGTTTGGCACTGTTTCGACACTGTTTGCCACTGTTTTGCACTGTTTTGATGTAGAATAACTTTCCATTTAGGGAAATGAGAACTTCTTGTTGGGACTGCCAAAAAAGGAAATTGGGAACTTGTCCCTGGGACGGAGGTAGTATGAGATATTCATAGTGAGATTTTCCGAAAAGAAAAAAATAGATTAGTTTTAGTGGGACGGAAGAAGTAGTTCTTAAGTGAGATCCAAACATGACATAGTAGACATAAGTCGAAAATAATTCTTAGCTTAAATAGTTTTTTTTCCTCCCGAAATGCTCTTCTAAAAAAACATACCTGTACCATTTTAGCTTGAGATTTTTCAAGGCAATGTTACACAGGTCTTTTGGATAGAATTTTAAGAAAATAAAAAAGTATTATGGTGTCGCATTCAATTGAAACGCCGGTACAATTTGTTTGTTGGAAAGATGTCCTTTGTGGCTAATTTTATTATATTTTAGCTATCACAAACTGAAAAGTTTCATTTGTACCCATTTATGTATGTCCAATTTATACCTACCTCCCATGAGAAGGCTACTTTTTGACTATACACGAGATTCACATACAAAAAAATTAGAGAAAAAAGGTAAATAAGACCTCGAACTATTTGTGATTCTGTAACCAGACCCTTGAACCGGAAGACTTGCAAATACACCCTTTAACTCGTTGAAAATTAAGCAATCAGATCCCTTTTTACCTGCTAGATTACGGGCACCAGAAGGTAAAAAGGTTCTGATTGCTTGATTTCATTGAGTTGAGGGGTGTATCCGCAAGTCTTCCGATTCATGGCCTGATTGCAAAAACACAAATAGTTGGAGGGCTTATTTGCCCCTTTTCTCAAAATAAGAAATATCTTCTCACCAGAATGGGTATAAAGAAATGGGTAAAGTATCAAAATGGTTACAAACTAGGGTTGGGACTTGGGGGACACGGCTTTGCTTAGCCTCTAAGTGCGTGGAATTTGGTCAATCCTAGTCCTAATTTATTTATATTTTGGATTGGATTGTGTCCCTCGAATTGTGTCCCACAAATTGGCATGCCACTAATTTTATGACAATATTGTAAGTTTGAACTTTTATTACTCCCTCTATTCTCTATAATTGCTCCATTTTTGGATGTCCCTCTATTTTTGTCCCATAGCATATTTGGTAACTTCCAAAAAGAATTAAGAAATGAATTAAACAAATTACATGATTACAAAATGGCAGATACCGGCTGATATGGTGGTAAACGCCATGATAGTAGCCATGGTGGCACATGCAAATCAACAAGGAACTGAAAGCATATACCATATAGGGTCATCAGTTTCGAACCCAATGAGGTACAAAGTGTTGCAAGACTTGGGATACCGCTTCTTCACCAAACATCCATGCATAGGTAAGGATGGAAAACCCATTCTTGTTGGAAAGGTGACTGTGCTAGGCAGCATGGATAGCTTCCGCAGATATATGGCCATTCACTACCTCATCCCTTTAAAGGTTAGTAGTCATTTGTGTGTCTAGTTACACTTTTTTTTAATCCAGGGGGGTGTCTGAGGGAGGGGGGAATGTGGGGCCTGGAGTAATTAATTAGGGCTGAAGCTCACACCATTAAGTTTCGAACCCGAGATCTCCCGGAAGGGAGAGTGAGTCGGTGACCAGCTGGGCTGGACCGCTTCCTCGTGTGCCTATTTACAAATTTGATGCAAAAAAACACCTGATGATAGGAAAGTTCCTTATTTCACAAACATCTTGGATATTTCGGATTGCATCGGTATAAAGAATATTTTTGAAAAAAATACATGAGATTTTTAACCTTACAAATTAGAGCATTTCCCAAATTTGGGGTGGGCGAGAGCCTAAGTTGCCCCTAACTCTGCCCCTGATTCCAGGGTAAAATTTGATGTTTCTTATATGTATGCATGGTTTCCTACACTAAACAGGGTTTGGAGATAGTAAATATTGCATGTTGTCAGTACTTCCACAGTATATACAATGAGATGCACAGAAAAATCAAGACTGTGATGAGGCTAGTAAATCTATACCAACCATACTTATTCTTCAAGGGAGTGTAAGTATACTTTTTAAATATTTGAAATCAACAACGTTTCTAAAAAAATATGTGTCCAAGGATACTTAGTATGCATATATGTTGTGGACAGATACGATGATATTAACACTGAAAAATTGCGAGGAGCGGCCATAGAAGGGGGCATTGAAACAGATGTGTTTTACTTTGACCCTAAAGTAGTCAACTGGGATGATTATTTCATCAAGACTCACATTCCTGGATTAATGAAATATGTCTTCAATCGTAAATAGAAGTGTTTGTATAATTCTTATCATCACATCTGTAAAATACGGAGTAATAATTTCTCATTATATTATAATGAATTGATGTAGCCTAAAAGGCAAACTATCGATTTTTTTTGTATCTATAACTTATGTCTGTTAACTTTCCTAGCTCTATGATTTATTTGATTGAATTAGTGTAGTAAGAAGTTTGAAAATGTGCCACATTAACGGGCCTAATCGCAAGGCATCATTAGAACGCCCTGCGCGGCCCAGATGCATGAAGAAAGGTAGCCCAATGAAACTCGTGGGCTTAAGTTTGGCCAAGTTCAAAACCCACGGTCAGTCGCCAATAACAATAGGGAAGTTCTATTCACAACCCTATTTTTACTAAACACAGCCACTTAATTAAATAATAATTAAGTGATTAACGAGACTACCCTTGTACTTAACGATCGTTAAGTACGTGAAGGCCAGAACATTAAGTTACGATCGTTAACCATCGTGGCAAGGCAAAACGCAGGCTAGAACAGGGGAAGCTCTCAGGCGCATAAACCAAAGAAGGAAGACAACCAGAAAAACAAAAAGACCGAGAATCCTTTATTACCCTATTTCTACATGAGATCAGTATTCCATCTTTGCATTATGCAGTTAATTCATTTAAACTGATTCAGTTGTGTATTTTTAAGTTTTTTAGAGTACGTGTTTATTAGTTTTTTTACCGTCCATCCTTTTCAATAAGTACTACAAACACGTACTTTGGCTTGCAATTAAAGAGCTTCCAAGATTATGATGTGGCATAAAATACTGGATGGTAATACAACATAAAATACAATCTATAATGTTTGGTTTGGCTCTCGAGCGCATAAAGCCAAAGAAGAAAAAGCTCTCAAGCCTTTTCAACAAGTAGTGCCATATTACGTGCAATTGATGAAAAGATCACCTTTCCATTAAGAAATTTGCAAGAATCGGTTTGGTGATTTTGGTCTATGATACTCCATCCATCCCAAAAGAGTCATATTTGAACAAAAGAAGCTTTTTCCTATCATATTAAATGTGCCTTTTCAACAAGTATCCCTATATAAGTGTGTTATATTCAGTCGCAACAAACAAGTAATCTTAAAAGTACAGGTGTACTTTTTCAGAATGGGATTAGTTTTACTGTCAATAACAAACTGACGAAGTGTACGCACATGAAATACAATACTGGGGGGCTTCTGTGTGTGATAATGAAAGTAACATACTTTGAGTCACAAAGTAACTCATGCAAACATTGTCTTCTACTAGTGATTTTCTTTTTGTTATAATAAGAACACTTGAAGGTAAGAACTTACCTCCAAAAATCTTCTTATCATAAATAATGGTGTCACATGTATATGCAATTGCAAACCTTGAAACTTCTTGTGAGTCTCTTCCAAGCATTCCTTTTCTGTTATATTGTTTGGGGTGGTACCTTATTCGAATTGCCTTCACTATTAGACAAAGCTTAAGAGAAGCTACTTAAGAATATGATGAACTGTTAAACCATGGTTTAGCATTTGGCTAAACTCGTTCAACTCTCCTCAAAGAAACTGGAGTTATATAATGATCCTTTGAAAATTTGGTAACATTGATCCACTTCTGGTGGATATAAGTCAGACCTAAAATGAAATTAATTTTTATAAGGGAATGGGAGGGAGGAGAGCTCTTTTTCAAGTAGAGACATTTCATAACATTCTCTTACCAAAAAGTTCCACTTACCCAAAAAAGAACATGCAACATCAACTAACAAGCAAAAACCACACCCCAACTCAAACTAAGAATTTAATGTCCATAAAATATTGGATGATGTCCAGGATGAAAGATGACAGAGAAAAAATAGTTGTTGGTATGTTACTACACCTCAGCGGCAAACAATCAATTCTGCTGCTAGCTCTTGATTAAACCAATTAAGTTGCTTCAGCCATTTCGACAACCACCAGACGGGTTCTAGATCACTTTCACTCCATTTCCATTGTATTCCAAACAAGAAAGCGTCATTTTTTTATTATAAATCTCTCTGCAAACATCCACTCCTTGTTAATGACACCATGATTATAAACAAATTTAATATAACTTGACCTTCTCAGTAAAGTGTCTTAATTACCACTTTACTAGTTCTAGTGGACCCTCAGAGTGAAGTTTATCTTTAAAAAAAAATAGTACAATCTCACCTAAGTTGAATACTCAAGAACACAACGAGTATTAAAATCAAATTTTCACCCTCATTATCTAAACAACAAATTTGAAAATACAAAAATCCAAGATGAACCAATCCAAGGATAAAGATGACCTTATATAAGCAACAACAGTCTATGAAAATAGCAATTAATCAAGAGAAACCCCCTTAATAGGAGTAAAATATAGCAAATATTTGAGCAATTTTGTTATTAATCAGATGAAATCATTCAGGACACAAGAAATTAAACAAGCTTGGTAAAGTACTAGAAACTTCTTTTTCTCGGTCGAAGACGCTGGAGGTCAAGGAGGAAGAGAAACTACTTAAGACTTCTCTTTCTCGGTCGGTGACTCAAGGCTGCTAGCTTGAATTCCAGATCCGGTCTTTTCCGCCTTACTGATCGTGTGTATATCTATGGGCTCAACCGCTCGTCTCTATCTCTGCTGCTAGCTTTCATTTCAGATCTCGCCTTTTCTATTGCTTCGTCTCTTCTCCGTCCGACTACGATGGCTTGCGGGAGAATGAGAAAGAGTCGGTCTCTTCCTTTTCGGAAAGCTCAGACATGAGCGGGATAAATGGAGTATGAGCAATTGTAAATACGAGAGACGTTCCACCGAAATGAAATGAACGATGTTAAGTTAGAGAGACGTTAAATTAATTCGAAGGGCGTAAATGGCATTTTAAAAATGTGGGTGTGTATTTAGTAAAAATGAGGTTGCAGATAGAATTACCCATAACAATAGCGTCTGGGTGGTACTTTCTAAAAATTAGAGAAGTGCTCTTATATTTATAGCTGCGTTGGAAATTGGAATGAGAAGTTTGTCCACTCAACTGGTGTGGGAAAATTTGTATAAGGAGGAACAAAAAGGAACATAAAAAACCTCCTTCTTTGGACTTAGCTTGGAACACATTTCCGCTTTGGTAATATAGAATTTTCCAACCTGCAATTCGCGGGTTAACGTTTAAACTTGTGCAAAGTGATATAAATTGCAATCGACTATTCTTTTCATCATCATTCATGATGGAAAATTCATCATCATCATTAAAAATTACATATTAATGACTAAAATAGATATTGTTTACAAAATATGACAACTTCTATGTAGTAACTTTAGTCACGCTAACTTATGATAATTTTTTAAGCAACTTATGTTAATTTTTACATTTAAGTGACATGATATTATATTTTAGTAATGTTTAGTCATAAATTGATAAATAGGTTTTATTTAAGAAATATTTTAGAAAAAACTCTTATTATGGGATTACTATTCTTACCATTGTTGTTAATATTTATACAACTACAATGTTTCTATTACTATAAAAGATTTTACTTCTATTATTTTATCGTTAAACTACTTTTTCACCCTTTCTAGCTACATATTATAGGTTCTATAGTATGAGTATGTATATTAGTATATCTATAATTTGTGAGTTTTAGAACTTATTTTATTTTATTTTTGTTGGGAAGTTCAAAATGTGATGCCTTTTGTTTGATGTTATCACATATCACATTTATATATATTGTTACCAATAGTTCTAAAAAAAATAAAATAACGAGTAAAAATTACAAACGCTTATGCATGAAGCCGTGCTTTGGAAGGATGGTGTGGATATTACAATGGCTGAATCTGACGGCAACTACATCGACATGACAGTGGTTTATGGAGCGCAAATTACACCATGGCGCTTAACGGGTTTCTACGGCTTCCAAGAACGACAAAGAAGGCGAGACTCCTTGAAGTTGCTACAGGAGTTAATTAGCCACTGCTAACTGTCTGCCCTGTGCGGTCATCAGAGATTTTAATGACGTTATGTATGACTAAGAGAAGAGAGGTCGAGAGGTCGCCGCCCTCAGCCCTGTGCGGTTAACATTTAATCTCCTAACTCCTTGATGAAATCAATTGAGATTGATAACCTCAACACAACGGTTTCGGTTTAACCAACAAAATTAATCCCTCTTCAGTTTATTAACAACGACCGTGCATTAATAAACCGCAGTTACTCACTTGTGAAACCATCAACGATTAACCATCGGTTCGTTGATCGTTTCTAGTAATAATTAATGTCGATATGTTAACTAATTGTCATTTAGCAACACTCCCCAATATTAATATAGAAATCAGATTAAGGGTTGAATTAATATTCAAGGGAAGAAGTAACAAAATAACACACAACTTTAACATTCAACAAACTTCAAGAACAAAACCAAGAAATGAAAGTTTAGATCCTCATTTGGAGACTAAACATGCTAGAAAATATAAAGAAATAGCTATTCTAAACTGAGTCGATGAAGTAGGTCCAGCCCAGCTGGTCGCCGACTCACTCTCCCTTACGGGAGGTCTCGGGTTCGAAACTCAATGGAGTGAGTTTCAGCCTTATTACTCCAGGCCCCCCTAGCCCCCCTCCCCTAGACGCCCCCTGGAGTAAAAAAAAGCAATTCTAAACTGAGCTTAAGAGTATATGTGAATTGGTCGTTATTTGTAAAGGAAAAGTGTGCTATTTATAGGTGTTTTTCAACACCTTTGGTCGGGTACCCGACCGGGTATAATGCTTACCTGACCGGGTATCGGTCAAAATCAAATATTTCTCACGTTCTTGTGTTTTAGCACGTCTGATTGTTGCGGGTCACTTCTCACTCGACCGGGTGAAATTTTTCACCTGACCGGGTGCATGCACTTTCGAGGTAGATGCAGCTTTCTTGTCATACCCGATCAGGTAGATGTCCTCACCCGACCGGGTATTGTTCCTGGGCAGTTTTCTTCACTTCCAAGTCCTTTTTTTCGACACCAAAATCTGTACCACTACTTTATAACTTACAAATGAAAGCTAAAATATAATTACAAACGAAATCACACAAATGTTTACAAACTAAATAAAAAGGTAGACAACTCACACAAATCAAACATACAAACATATATTTATGCCTTACTAACTAGTGTGCATCATCATAAGCTCTTATTCATCAGAATCATTATTTCACATGTTCTCCATACTACT